GGGGGGCGGCACGGATGTGGGAGGCGTTGGATGCAGGCAGGGATGTGGGATGCAGGGACGGGATGTGGGATCCAGGAGCAGGAATGTGAGATACAGCAGATATTGGGATGCAGGCAGGGGTGTGGGATGCAGAATAAGGCAGGGATGTGGAGTCCAGGATGGTGTTGGGATGTAGGAGCAGGAATGTGGGATACAGGAGAGATTGGAATGCAGGCAGGAATGTGGGATACAGGACTGGGATATGGTCAGGAATGTGGGATATAGGATTGGGATGCAGGCCAGGATTTGGGATGCACGATAAGGAGCAGGATCCAGGAGCAGGAATGTGGGATACAGCAGATATTGGGATGCAGGCAGGGGTGTGGGATGCAAATAAGGAGCAGGATCCAGACAGGGATGTGGAGTCCAGGATGATGTTGGGATGCAGGCAGGGATGTGGGATGCAGGGTTGGGATGCAGGATCCAGGAACAGGAATGTGGGATACAGGATAGATTGGGATGCAAGCAGGGATTTGGGATACAGGATGGGGTTGGGATGCAGGGTTGGGATGCAGTTTTGGGGTATGATCAGGGATTTGGGTACTGGATTGGGAGCAGGATGCAGACAGGGATTTGGGATGCAGGACTGTGGTGCAGGCAGGGATGTGGGATGCAGGGTTGGGATATGCTCAGGAATGTGGAATACAGGGATTGGGAATCCAGGCCTTGTCCTGGCTTTCCCAGGAATACGAGGGAGAGGAAAATGTGGCGCTCCTGGGGTCATATCCCATAAAATCAAAAAAATCCCAATAAACCTCAGCCCAAGGAGGTGGCCCTGGGATAAAACTGGGCCCAGCCAGGCTGTCAATATTCCCAGGAAAGCCAGGACAAGGGGAATCCATCAAATCCAGCCCAAAATAAATTGGGATTTGATTCCCAGAATCTCTGGGACTGGGGCTTTTCCCAAAAGATTGGAGGTAGGGGGAGAAGGGAGGGAAAATCCAGAAATTCCAGCAGTTCCTGGATTTAACTGGATGGGGTTTTGCATGGATCCAGCAGAGACTGATTCCTGTCAGGGAGGGTTTTTTTTGGGAATCAAATCCCACCAGTTTGGATCGGACTGGTGTTACTGGTTGGGCTGGAATTCCAGCTGGTCACAAAAGCCCTGAAAGCCAATTCCATGGAAAACCTCAAAAAATCCTCCCAGGATCTTCTTTTGTTTGGGACAAAACACTGGGACAGAGTTTTGGAGTCACCCATCCCTCAATGCCTGGAAATCCTGGATAAAACCAAACCCCATCCCAGATTCCCAAGTTTAGATCCTTCATTTTCCCCCTCACAAGTTTTCCATGAAAAACAGAAACACCAGGAGTGAAAAATGCCCAGATCCATTGCCATGAGGTGACTCAATCCAGGACTTTTTCCCACAGCTGCCAGAGCCCAAAGTCTGGCTCTTCCCATTCATTTTTCCATGGAAAAACTCAACAACCACATTCCCAACATTCAGCTTTGCCAGCATTCCCACTTTCCTGAGCCAAGGGCTGTTCCCATGGCTGGAACATCCCTTTGGATGGGAGTCACCCCTGGAAGAGGAGGTGAGGATTTCCAGGAAGCTGGAAATTGTTTCCCGAAGATTCAACAGCTCTGCTACCTCCTTGGAAAACAAAAATAAACCAGGATTTTAAAAATTCCCACATTTCCACACCTTCCTAAAGGGAATTTTAGCTTCTTTTAGCACAACCTCGCCTCGGAGCCAAACTCACGATCCGGTGGGAGAAGGATAAACGGGAATAACCCAGAATGGTGGGAGTGGGATTTGTTTTCCAATGGCAAAGCTTCCCTGGCAGCCTCCAGATTCCGCAGGGAAATCCCGGGAGCAGCTCCCGGTCCATCAGACGGCTCCCAGTACATGGGAGCAGACAGGAAACGCTGGGAATTGCGGGATACCAATCCCGCCGTGTCCGGATCGCTCCGATTTCTCCCGGCTTTTAATTCCCTGTGAATCCAGCGGCTGGTGGGAGCTCCCTTGGGATGCCCCAGGGAATTCCCAGCCTTGGGAAAGGAGGGAATGAGCTGAGCCGATGGGGAATGCCAATCCTGCCTCATCCAAATGCATCCACCAGGACGATTATTCCCGATTTTTTTTCAGTAAATAAGGATTTTCCCTCGTTCTCTTCCAAAGCTGTATGCCTTCACGCCTTAAAAAAACCCAATCTGTTTTTGGATGGAGCTGGTGCCCTCCTGTCCTTCCCAGATTCCCAAGGGATTGATCTGGCCTGGAAAGCCAAGTCCAAGCCTCATTCCTGGCGTCCCATGGGAGCAGCCAGAACCGGGGCAGCGCATTCTGGGTGAGGCTCCTCTGTTTGCCCTCGGAGATGGGAATTTGGGCCAGAAAAAAACTCCCAAAGGGAAAATTTCCCAGTCCCTCTTTTTTTCCCCCTGACCTTTCCAGAACAAATCCAGGGGCAAAATCCCAAATTAGAGAAGAAAATCCCAAAATTAGCAAGAAAGTCCCAAATTTTGCAGAGAAACTCCCAAACTGGAAGAGAAAACCCCAAATTTAGGAGGGGAATCCCAAATTTAGGGAGAAATCTCCAAATTTAGAGAGAAATCCCTGAATTTAGGAAGCAAGTCTCAAATTTGGGGGAGAAAATTCCAGATTTGTAATAATCAGGAATTTATTCTGTAGCATCATCCTGGGGAACAAATCCCAGGGAGAAAGTTTTGTTGAAGCATCTCCTCAGAAAAATTCCAGGGATTTTGGAGCAGGAAATCCATCCTGGAATGGAGTTTGGAAAGGAGAAACCAGTAAAAAATGGGAGGATTGGGATGAAAAATCCCCTGGTGACCAAAAACTGGGAAGGGCACCAAGAAAATCCAACAGTAGGAGCAAGGAAATACCCGGGAATATCCAGGACTCCCGGAGCTGAGCTGGTCACCAGCTCCAGCCACTGGAAAAAATCCAAGGAGCTGGAAAAAACTGGGGAATAGGGAGGGGAAAGAAGAGAAAACTCGAGGATCTCAATGAATCCAGAATTTTAAAAGGAATTTCCTTGGAATTGAGGGGATGAAGGATGGCGTTGGGTTCCCTGTGAATTTTTTGGGATTGATCCAGTTCTCTAGTGTAGAAGCCTGGAAAAAAGTGGGAAAAGGGGAAAGACTCCCAATTCCAAACAAGGCCTGGTGAAGGATGAGAAATGGAGTTGAACCCCAAAATTCCTGCCTGAATTAGGGAAGTGGATTTGGGATTTCAGCTGGATTTGGGATTTGATCCCACAGTTTAGGAAGGGAGGATTAATTGGAATTTATCCTGGAGGGATCCAGGAGGACAGATGGGAACAGAGGGTTGGTTTTCTGGGAAGAAGGGCCAGAAGTAGTTTGGGAATATTCAGGGATAAAACAGAATCAGTGGATGTGGAATTTTTGGGATAGAGGGAAAAGACAGGGTTCCCAAGCCTGGTTCTGCAGCACTTGAGGTGCTTTTTAGGCTTTTGGCAGCTCTCAAAAATTCCCAAAAATTCCTGTATATCCTCATTCCATGCTCAGTGCCATTTCCAAAGGGGAATTTTCCAGGGATAATCCCAAAAAACCTGTCTGCGACTCCAGCCAATGGGAAACTCCCTTGGAACATTTTCCAGTCCCAAATCCCATCCATGGAATTCTCTCCCATCCAGACAGACACAGGGACAGAGAGAAAACCCCTTGGAAAACTAGTTCCACACCGGCCTGGGGCTACTCCCTAAAAAAATTGGAATTTTAGGAAATGTTAGGATATTTTGGACATTTTTTGGGAGCATCCCTGGCTTTGCACACGTGCCTCCTTCCTGTTCTTCTCAGTTTTTCATGGAATTTTTTCCCTGCAGGCGACCTGAGCCCAGCCCCCACTGCCTCCTCATCCCGGAGATTTCCATGATTTTTTTCTGGATGTCCATCCCCATCCTTCTCTTCCCAAGGTCTCCCAGGTCCTCTTTGTTCCCGGTGCTGGAGCTGCCAGGAGTTGATCCCGGTTTATCCAGGATATTTCTATAGGTAACAGGATGATAGATTCATTTTTCCATGGAAAGTCACTCTTTGAGGGGATTTTCCTTGGGAATTCAGAGATTGCTGCCCTGAGC